ACATTTAGGTTCAACTCTTGTTGAATATTTTTGAAGTATGTGAAAACTAATTCTAAGATACATTTGCCACTAAAATAAATGAATAAGTGCATTAATATTAATGGTATTCATGTATTAGTTATTATAATTGACATCTAGCTAGTTAATTCTGATATTTAAAATATACAATTTTTCTAGTATAATTAAATAAATAGATAAATTTAAAAATATATATTTCAGTGTTTCTTGTTTTTTTAAATCAATTAAAAAAGATATATTTAAAATATTTTAATTTTTTTCTTCAAACTTTTTTTGAAGTGTACATAAAATTTGATCCCGATAATAATTTATTTTGTATTTTTCTTTGATAGAAATTAATATCTTTATTTTATCTAATAGTAGTGTTAATAATCATTAAATGAGTCATATAACGTGTTTTATAAGAATTAAGAAAAATATATAGGGAGTAAAGTATTTAATAGAAGTTTTCACATTAATTCTCTAAAATAATTGATTTTCTTTAGATATTTTTTTTTAATTTAACTAGATAGTATGCATTACAATTATATTATTTTATTTTTTGAAAGTTGATCATTATTAAATATAGTATATCTTCAAAACTCTATTCTACCATTAATTATAATATTAAATATGTATAATTAAGCTTTTATTTTCTCTCATGCATATTGAAACTAAAATTTTTCCTAAAGGGTATGAAGTAGCAAAAAAATTTATTTGAATAGAAAAATCCATCGAACTCACCTGTACCATAAATTTTTTAAAGAATATAACACCAAATATAACATAAACGACCATACTAACCAGAGTTATATGTAAGTAAAAAAAAAAACACAAATATCAATTTATTGGGATATTAAGTGAAAATATGCTTACAAAAACATATAAACAATTAAGTGTCATTAATTAAGATCTTAATGAAAAAAGTTATTGGACCAAAACAATCCATTGCTTTGGTAATTATTTGCATAACATATGATGATCTATTATTGCCTAGCAGCATGTCTAAACATGGATATTGTGGGTGTGGATATGAGTTGATCACATCCATGAATTAGGATTGCTACTACGACTATTATTGTTTGTCCATAAAAATAATTAATATTTATCATAACAAATGTATCTCCAAGAACACTCATAATATATTAGGATTAAATGACAACTTTTGTTTTCCACTGAGAATGTCGATGATCTAATTGATATGCTAATTGAATTATAGATTTTTTTGTAAATGGACTTAGCACCACGTTGGTGCTTGTAAGTGATACATATTTATACTTCTTATTTTTTTTTAAAAAAAAAAAGAAATGGTAATATGCCATCAAACACATGTAAATAAAAGGTCAAACATTCTATCATATATTTTGTTGATCTCTAAACAAATAATAAAAGCCACAAGATTAATCAACCATGTTTTGCAAGAACCAAGAGAAATTTTAGTATGTGAAGACTAAGCAATGAATGATGGTGACTATATGAAAAATCCCAAGTAGAGAAAGACATAATCTAACATAAATGATAATGCAAATATGGGTTCTAATTTCATCAAAGTAATCCATGTTTTGGATCCAATAAGCTACGTTAATTATCATATTCTTTCATTATCTCAATAGATCATGTAAATGAAACTTAGATATTCACAGGAAGATGACTAAACTAGTTTATCCATTACATAGAAAAATTACTTATCCAACCTTATCGCCATTCTTAAGTTCACCAAAGATTCAAATATAGATACCGAATCTAATTACCGAATAAAAATTATCACGTCAAAGCAGAGGGAATGGATGAAATGAAAGGAAAAGTGAGTGAGATGTAAATTTACTGAAACTTTGCAAATTACAGAAAAAAGGAAACTCTAAACTTTACCACATTTAAATGGTGGCGTCCAATTCCCGAGCTCCTATTTCTTCTCTATTTTTCTATATACTAAACAGTAACCTAATCCTTTTCCTTGCTTTCTTCACAAAACATTCCTTGAAAATTCATGTCTTTCTCTATGTCTTCAAGCTCTTCTAGAAGTTCCTTTGAACTTATTTATGTTTTTTCAATCTTCATTACGGTTTTCTCCTTTTTCCTCTGATTTCACTGAAAACTGACCCGAAAACCCTCTTATTCCCCAAAATTTTCTCACTTTTATCGCTCATCTTACGATAATGAGTTATATGCCTTGGTACGAGCATTAGATGTATGACAACATTCTTTATTACCGGAGGAATTCATGATCCACATCGATTATGAGCCCCTAAAGCATCTAAAGGATCAATGTCAACTCAACCATCGACACTGTAAGTGGGTCGAGTTCATTGAGTCATTCCCTTATGTCATCAGGTATAAATAAGAAAAAGATAACATTGTGGTTGAGTATTATCTCGCATATATACTTTGATTTCTACTTTTAGCTCTAAGTTATTAGGATTCGAACATATTTAAGAGATGTATGCTGATAATTATGATTTTTTATCTGTTTATCATACATGTGAGCATTATGGACTCCATAAGTTCTATAAGCATGATGGTTTTCTCCTTATGAATGGTAAGTTATATGTTCCTAATTATTCATTTAGGGAATTGGTAGTGCAAAAATCACATAACAGGTGAATTATGGGTAACTTTGGCGCAGCAAAAATGGTACACATTTTGCATGAACACTATTACTGGCTTAACATCACAAAGGATGTGGAAAACATATGTAGTAAATGTATTTTATGTAGACAAACCAAATATCGAGTTCTACCCCATGGGTTGTACACATTTTTTCCTATCCCTACGGTTTCCTAAATAGATATTTCTATGAATTTTGTGTTGGGATTGCCTAGAACTAGATAGGCAGTGATAATATATTTGTTGTTATGGATAAATTTAGTAAGATTATACTTCATTGCATGCCATAAAACTGATGACGTGATGAATATCATGAAATTTTTCTTTAGGGGTGTTTTGAGATTATATGGCATTCCTAAGACAATAGTGAGTGATAGGGGCGTAAAGTTCTCAAGCCACTTTTGGTGAGTTTTATGGGGTAAATTAAGAACTAAATTATTATTTTTTATGTATGTCACCCCCAAACTGATGGCCAAATAGAGGTGGTTAATAGATTCTTAATATCTCTTTTATTGATTGTGGTTGGTCGATATCTAAAAACTTGGAAAGATTGTTTTCTGATTGTTGAATTTGCATACTATTGTAGTATTCATACTTCTACAGGCTTTTCACATTTCGAAATTATTTATGATTTTAATCATTTAATTCGACTTGATCTAACTCCTTTGTCTTTAAAAAAATTACAAATATAGATAGCAACGGAGAGTTGATGTGATCAAAGCCATATATGAGAAGGTTATGCAACATATCCAGAAGCAAAATGAATCATATACACGTAATGCCAATAAATGAAGGAAACGAGTTGTGTTCTAACCCAGGCGACTGAGTTTGGATTCATGTGCCGAAAGGAAATGTTTCATAAACAAAGGAAATCTAAGTTGGACCCTCCCCCGCGTTGGGCCATTTTAAATCTTGGAGCATGTCAACAATAACATTGACAAGATTGATCTTCTATGTTAGGATAGAGTGTCCGTTACCTTTAATGTTTCTGATATCTCTTCTTTTAATGTAGGTGATGATTCGAGAACGAATCTTTTCAA